AGCCCTGCCACCAGGGGCTGCAAGGGGTTAAGACACTATCGTCCCCAGCACGCCCCACGAAGGCCCGCCTCTGTCCCAGTCTTCTGGAGCCCCCAGAGCTTTAAGCCAGGCGGAGGGACTCTGGCTGTTCCCAAACTTCTCCTGCCTGCGGGTAGGGTGTGGCCAGGGCGGCAGTCTCACCCTGTAACCGTGACACTGCTTCTCCAGGGGAGCCCTTCTTCGTCACCGATGCTGGAAACTTAATTTCCCACAGGCCAGAAACCAGCGGGAGCCTTCCGCCGCCAGCTCGGGGTTGCCGTGGTTACGTCCGCCCCGCCCCCACGCTCCGCCCCGCCCCTCGCGACCACCCCTGGGACCTGGGCGGTGCAGCCCTTTCCCGAGGGTGGGGGTGGCGGCCTGCGGCCTGGCACTTATCAGGCTTCTCTGGGGCCCACGGGAAGCGCCCTGAAGTCTCTGAGGCCGGAGTTCGCTGCCTAAAACGAAAATGCCAAGTCTCTGGGCATGTTCTCAGAGGGACGCCCCTGCCACCGCAACAGAGGAAAGGCCTGACCCCTGCTCCAGCCAGTCAGGAAAAGTAGCAAACAGGGAAGGGCTCCCTAAGCCGCTTTGGGGGCCACACTCACCACTCCTCTGACTGTCACCCAGGCTGGTTTCTAGGATTGGGTGTCCTGGTGTGACCTCTTGGCCATAATTACCACGGGCCAACAGGACCGAACGTGCCCCTTCATCCTTCCCAAAACATTAGGAAAGTTTGTGTAGTGAGGTAATACACAATGCATTCCTGCCCTGAATAGGGTTCCCTTGGAAACTCTTTTTAATATCTTTTTAAAAATATCCCTTTAAAACCTTCAAACAGCCTTTCAGGCCCCAGATTTCTTTTAATATCCAAGTGACCCTGGAAATGGAGGGGTCACCAAGTGGGGAGGAGGGGCCTAAGACTGGACTTCGAGATATAGATACAGGATTCTTTCTCCAGATGGAAAAATAAAATCCGTGGGATTTCTTAAGGGAAGACTCCTGAGACTGTGAGCCAGAGGTGGCAATGCATGATGAGGTACATGAGACCTCACATTCCCTTCAGTTCTTCTGTGTGGTGATTACTTGAACCAATGGGAAACACATTGCCAGGGAAGAGGGAAATGACCTTCAATGTGTACAATTACAAGTTCCCATATGGAGGGATATATAATTCCAACTTCCTTCATTCGGCAATGTGTACAGAATGGCCAATCTTGAAGACTATTCCTAGGGCGTATTTAACCAACACACAACTGCCCAGGAAGCACCCTGAGGTAGAAAGGCAAACTCCACCTCAACTCCTGGAACAATTCTAGCCCCTCAAAATTCAGTGAATCTAGGAGAAGAAGGATTGCCACTTAACATCTTTAAGAGGGCAGGAAGGTGAAGTGGAGGGTGGAATATGATACAGCTGAAGTCTATGATATAATGGATCATGTGATAATACTCTTCCTGAGAACGATCCTGAATGATGTCCAGCGGCCAGATTTCCTCAGCCAGTCCTGGAATACTATAGAAGCAGCTTATGTGCTTGAGAGTTGAGTGGTAAGCAAATCAAAAGAAAGAGGAACAGAGCAGCCAGTATCTCCAAAGATGATCCAGGCTGAAAATACCTTTAAAAGCTTCTGATTCTCAGAAGAATCCTAAAGGGAAGGGAGAATCTTGCAGGTGCAGTCCTGACCTTGAGGCATCACTGTGGCCTGGCTTGTAGAGCATCTTGCCTTGGGGCACCCCCCGGCTCTGCCCTGGTGCAGCCAGCGGGAGGTGGTCACAGCCTTTCAGGCTGAATTCTTTGTGAGCCACACGAGATATCTCTGTGTAGTCAGGGCCCTTTTGGCTGCGAATGAGAAAGGCTTAACTCAAAAGTTATATGGTCTTATCGGTTCTTGCAGCTGGGCAGGAAGAAAACTGGGAGAGCTCCCAGAACCACGGTAAGAATGATAAGAAGAACCAGGGCCTGAAGGATGAGAACGGAGGCCTCTCTTTCTCCTCCTCTCTTTCTTCTTTTGCTGCTTCTCCTTGCCTATTGACCTCATTCTCTCCTGCTGCAGCTGAGATTGATGTTCACATGCCCCCCTTGTATACAGCTTTCCACTGTGGCTGCAAAGGCAAAAGAAAAAGACAGTTTTCTCTACTGGCTCTACCAAAGACATCCCAGGGAGGACTATGGTAGCTGAGTGTATCCTCTGTACAGAAGTTTTAAGTGTTGAGGTTGAAGACCTTATTTTCCCTGTAATAGGTTCCTAGGGTCATTTGTGTAACAAATGACCACAAAGTGGCTTGAAAGAACACAAATTTATCCTCTTATAGTCTTGGAAGTCAGAAGTCTAAAAATGAGTCTTACAGGGATAAAACCAAGGTGTGGGCAGGGCTGCTTCCTTCTGGAAGTTCCAGGGGAGAATCCATTTCTTGGCCTTTCCATCTGGTCTCTTCCTGCCTCCACTTTGGCCTCCATGGTCCCCTCCCATCCATGGCCAGCAGGCTATGAAGTCCAAGGACTGGCTTCATAGTTTTAAATCCTAATTCTTTGATGGCAGACTGGAGCTTTTTGTGTCTTTCTCCTTAAAACATCAACAAAAAAATTTTCTATTCTCTAACTTATTGGGAAAAAAAGAGAGAGAGTTGGAGGTCAGGTGATCTGTGGTTCTCCTCTGTTCATTGGTTTTGAGGCTTCAGCCAAATCATTGTTTCATCAGCTGCCAAATGGAGGAAATACTGGCTGCACAGCCTCCCGAGAGAGCTGTTATAACATCAGCAACAACATAAAATCCCCAACGGGTACCTGTGATGGTCAGTTTTATTCATCAGGATGGCCAAACTGTAGTATCCAGGTATTGAATCAAACACTTTTTAGTGGGTGCTGTGAAGGCATTTTATAGATGTGATTCACATCTACAATCAGTCCACTTTAAATGAAGGCGATTGCCCTTGATAATGTAGGTGGAACTCACCCAATTGGTTGGAGGCCATAAGAGCAAACTGATGTTTCCAGGAGATGCCATTCTGCCTCAAGATTGCAGCCTCAACTCTGCTGAGTTTCCAGCATGGTGGCCTGCCATTCTGATTTCAAACCAGCAGTCCCCACAATCATGTGAACTAATTCCTTAAAATAAATCCATACCTTTCTCTATAGACTATTGGTTCTGTTTCTCTGCAGAACCCTGACTGGACAGTACTGTACTGACTGACAGAGGAAGATACCTGCCGATCTGAGTCCTTAGTGGAGAGGAAGAGAGAATGAGTACCTTGTGAAAGTAGTTTTATGCCATAAAGTCATCCCCAGTCTGTGCCAATGTCAAACAAGTCCCACAGGAGAGGGAGGAGGGGAGCAGAGGACTGTTGGGGCTGAGGACTAGAGGTGGAGACATCATCCAAGTATGAGGCTGCGGGAGAAGGGACACTTTCACATTCTGCTGCGGTCCACCCTGACTGGGAGCTGCTGGTACATCCTAGTCCAAGAATGAAGTCACAAACATGTAATAAATAGGATCAGGGTGGTGCTTGTACAAAAAGGGAGGTGCTGGTTAGAGCTGGCACACATTGCATGAGGCCTACTATGTGCAGACACCCCTGTAAAACCTTATTTCTTCTTTCCCACTCAGCTGGCTTGCTGAGTTGCTGAGGGTGTCTGACCTGTGTGCCTGCATTCCTCTTTTCTTTCTTTCCAACGTGAGTTCAGGCTACTCCTGAGAATGGAAGTCCTGCCTGCTCAGCTGCCTGGAGAGCCTTCATCTGCCCCATTAGTTTGGCCATTTGTAAGCTGTGAAATACTAGGCAAATTTTCAATCCTTGCACATCCTCAGTAGGAGTCCTTGAGGGTTGGCTCATGCATCACAGGACAGTGCAGTAAGAGCAGGGGCTTTGAAGACAACTGGGTGTGGATCCTGAGACTTAACCAGTACGTCACGTTCTTACGAGAAGATAAAACAGTCCAAGTGTCTGGGAGGCCTTCAGTGGAGGGGAGGGGCTGTCATTATGACTTGTAAACTATAAGAGCCAGGTAGACCCCATTCTCTCTGCGTATTTAGTGCATTGGTTGGAATTTTCCGGAGAAACAGAACTAATAGGATGTGCTGTACAAAGAGAGACAAGAAAGATATTTATGCTAAGGAAGGACCCATGCAATTATGGAGGTGCAAGTCCAAAATCTGCAGGGTGGGAAGAGTTGCGTTTGAGTCCAAAGCCAGTCTGCTGGCAGAATTCCCTCTTCTTCTGGGGAGGCCAGTGTTTTTCTAATCAGGTCTTTAAATGATTGGAATCATTCTAGAGGATCATCTGCTTTATTAAAAGTCTAATCTTATCTAAAAATACCTTCACAGAAACACCTAAAATAATGTTTTACCAAATGTCTGGGAATCGTGGCCTAACCAAATTGACACAGAAAACTCACCCTCACCCCCAGTGTGCAAGCCCTTTATGCATGTTTTGCCCAGAAGCCTCACCAGAAAGCTCTGAACACGAATTGCATCGCAGCTCCTGTGCAGGTGTTTTTATTAACAACTGGTCCCACTTGCTGTTCTATAGCAGAGGGTTGAGGTCAGCACTGCTCTGGCTCCCAGTGTATGCAGGATGAGTAGGCAGGCTCTGGAGCTCTGTAGAACGCACCAGGGCAATGCACTGTGCCCAGTACATGCTGAACACACCCAGTGCTATGTCACCTCCAGAGACAGATCCTGCCTGTCCTCTTCTTAAAAGGCCTGTGACCTGGGCCTCAGCTTCACCTAGTACTCACCTAATAGAAGCACAATGGGTATGTGCCCCACAACATGCCAGCTCCTTATACCAAAGAACCCCAAAAGACCAACACAGGGCCATGCTTCTCTTACAATTTATAATAACCATAAACTAGAACCACCAAAATGCTTCTAGGACAGCCACTCCAAAGAGTCCCGAGGCCAAGTCAGGTGCAGTTTTAGCTGCCAGGATTAAAGTTGGGAACTGCCCACTCTCATTCAGTCTCTGGCCCTCCCAGCCCTTCTGCATTACAGATCTTCATCATCAAAGGTCTCCATGCACCTCAACATTATCATCTCATCATCGATGGGAAGGTCTGGTTCCTGAAAAACAAAAAGTAGAAGAAGTTTAATTTTTATCTAAGGGTTTCAAGTCCCAGACAGATAGGAAGGTTCCTGCATCTCAGGCAAACCCAGCTCCCCCAGTTTCTACCCTACATGTCTTCAGCTGCACTTTCATCTCCAGCTTCAGCCAGGAAGTAAGAGCTCTAAGGGGAAGGTCACATTTCCATTTCACACAACTCTATCCTCTATGACCCTCAGAAAGGATGTAGTAGAACCGGTTTCTTTCCTAACCTGGGATATCCAGCATTCCATAATAGAGACAGGTAATCCTTAAAGCTTTATCCAAATGCCCATCAATAGGAGATGGAGAATTACACCATGGTGCACCCACCAATGGAGCACTGTGCAGCTGGTTTTTTGCTTTGTTTTTAAGGAGGTAGCACTCTATGATAAAGGCTTTAAGAATGCCAATGTGCAAAGCAATGTGTATAGTTGGCTACCATGTGTTTGAAGGAATATAGAATTATCTGTAGAATATCTTTAGATGAGTGTACAAGAAGCTGGTCGTAGCAGTTGCCCCTGGAAGAGGATATGGGGTAGCAGGAAAGGGACACTGATAGGAGAGAGACTGAGTTTCCATTGTATGTCTTTCGGTAACTTTGAATTTTATGCCATGTGCATGAGTTACCTATTAGGAGATAGTTTTTTTAAGAAGCAGCACTATGTTTCTCATTCCCTTTCAATAACCCCAGCCAACCTCTCAGGATTCTCCATGACCTCTTTCCCTAAAAGTCTGTTCCTGGGTTTTGCTCTTCCTGTCTCTCTCACCTTGGCAGAAAATGACCCCTGGAATTTGTTAGCCCAGCAGATCAGGGTTGATCTCCATGGGCCCTCGGCAGCATCCCTGACTCAAATCAACCATTTAATGAATGTGAGACCTGGTTCCAAGGGTGACATCCAGATAAAGGATGACCTCTGCAAACCAAGCCCTTCTTGCCCTGGAAAAGCAGTTCCCATTCACCATGCTCTTCTGATGGGGGCAAGGAACTGGGGACAAAGACTGTCAGAGGTGGGATCAGGCAGTCTCTAGGAGAATCGCATGAGCCTCTTGTTCAATGGGAAGACAACAGCAAAGGTTGAAACAAGAATGAAATTTCCCTCTTTACACCAGAGTCATCAAAGCCTCCTGCCCCAGAGCCACTTGGACAGCTTGTTCAAAATACAGATTCCTGGGCCCCGCTCTCAAAACACCAATGAAAATCTTGAAACATCAGGAATCTGAATTTCTGTTTTTTTTTTTTTTTTTGAGTTGGAGTCTCACTCTGTCGCCCAGACTGGAGTTCAGTGGCCGCTCCCGGCCACTGCAGCCTTGACCTGCTGGGCTCCGGCGATCCTTCCGCCTCAGCCTTCCAAGTAGCCAGAATGACAGGCGCGTGCTACCACGCCCGGCTGATTTTTTGATTTATTGTAGAGATGAGGTCTTGCTGACCAGGTGGGTCTCGAACCCGCAGGCTCAGGCAATTCGCTCACCTCAGCCTCCCAAAGGCACGGGATTACAGGCTGAGCCACCGAGCTCGGCTTAGGAATCTGAATTTCTAATAAGCTCCCAAGGCAATTCGTGTGAGCACAGATATTTGGCCATGTTTGCTTTATACCGATATGCTAATCCCTGCTTGTTCTTTCAAAAAAAAGTAGGAGGAAAAGCCAAGACTGTCCTTTTAATCTATTCTCAAAGTTTTAGTAAAGTAGATTAATTTAACTGTATCCAAGAGAAAGGGAACAGCTGCTGCAAGGGACAGGCACCCAAGACTAGTGGGAAGAGGAATGCAAACTGTAGGAAAGGGCTCTTGCTCCAATTCAGGATGCAAAGTGGTCTCAACAGAGGAAAATGAAGAATTAGTGGGAAACAGGCCAGGTTACTCATATACCTTAGACTACTGAACAGGCATCCTAACTATTTTTAGACAAATATTTGCCACGTTTATAACTTACCTTTTTAAATAAACAGTTGTATTTTTGTTGAATTGATAGAGAAAAACTCATAGCTATGAATCTGAAAGGGCCTGTTCCCTTGGTGGCTCAGGCTTATGCCCTCTGCCCCCATGAAAGCTTCTAGGAATGGACCACCTAACCAAGACCCCCACTTGTGTCACCATAAATGGCATAATTTGGAAGCAGAAATCGATATACTTCAAAATCTGACAGCAAATGTTATTGTGGAGTCTCAGAAGATGATGAAACTACTCAGCTTTTTGGAAAGCTGTCAAGGGTTCATATAACATTTATGAATGTCTACTAAGAGCCAGGCCCCTGGGATCTGGCTCCCACTTCACAGTGCTCCCAGTCCAGATCTGCCCTGAAGGACATTCCTCTGTCTCTTTCCTCAGTTGCCCTGGAGGTCTTCCATTCCTCAAGGGCATCAGGCTGAAGTCAACCATCCATGGAGAAGGCCAGAGAGGACGGAAGAATGTCCCTGTCTAGTGGTCCCTCGTGGTGTGATCAGGGTGAGGTTCGGTGAGGGTCCTTCATTAGCCCTTTGTGCCATCCAGGAACGTGTCACTGAACTCTGCTGTCCTACCTGTTTTAACTGAGGGCTAACACAGCAAAGGCCTTTAAAAAAATCAATGATCTGCATATAGAGCTGAAACTTTTCCTCTGGATTTTCTGGGTTGCAGCTGGCAAGCATTGAACTGACAATAGAAAGAAAGAAGAGAGAGCAAATATTCAGGATCCTAATCTCTCACCTCTGCTTCCCCTTCCCCTAAAATATTTGGATTACAGTGTGGACCAAGCTCTTTTAAATTCTCAGACAGCCCAGACCTCTTTTTGAAATGTCTGCATTGCCTCTGCTCAAATGTCACGTCTAGGACCCCCTGAAAAATTGAGACTATAGCAAGACTGGCTCCTGTGCCCTAATTCCATGTTCTGAGTCATGGCCTCTGGAACAAGGAAGCAAGATTTTCTCCACCCTTCAGAGTTAACCTCCTACCACAATGCCCCAGGGTTCTGGCTCCACCTGTTGCTGCCAAGGCAGCTCTGGAGCTCTTGGCCCATTTGGGGTTCAGCCCCCTGAGATTCCACTGCTTGGTAAGTCTAACATGGAATTCAAGCCCTGGCACAGAAAGGAGGTCTGCTTTACAGGCCCCTTTTCCCTGGCCTGTCTGGGACAAGGGGAGAAGCCCCATGTTACAGAGGCTGGAAGCCATGCAGAACAACCAGTGTTTGACCTCAATTCCTCCTGCAATGAAGTCTCACTGTTAACTTAGGAACCCTCTGGCAGTAACCCCTGCCTTTTCTAGTGGAAGTAGAAAAAATTTTTATAGGTTTTTGTTGTTGTTCTATCAGCAGGGTAGAGAGTTCCAAAATACTGCTTGGCAAGCGCACATTGTCAACTTCTCGACAAAGCTGTCTTTGTAGCCCAAGCCCAACACAGAAATAGGAACATCTGCTTCCAGCCAGTTGCAGCCATCTCCTTCTCCCCTGCCTCCAAATCCAATCCCATCAGCATCATGAAGACCAGCTTCCCCACTTCGTTCAGCTCAAAGACTTCACTAAGATCAGGGCATAGACCTGTTTCTACGCTGGCTCAGGTTCTCCATGCCCCAGAACCCCCTGATTTCTACCAGATCTATTGCTATAACCTACCTACAGGCTGCCCGACCATGGGTGCTATAGACTGAATGCTGAGAAGTGCTTGAGTCACTCCATAAGATTGCTTTGGAGAGGAGAAAGCCCTTTTCTGTCAATCCCACTTCTCTCCAAGTCTGTCTATGCCTGGGTGGAGCCAGAGGAATTGGAGGGAAAATGCTGATATCTGTTTTGCTTGTGCTTGAAGCTCTACTTGAAGCAGGCTGGGTAACTAGCGATAATTGTGGCTCCAAGGCTTATGAGCACTTGGGGCCAGGCGCTCATCCAGAGGACAGTGGAGATATTTATTGGGATCACAAGGACGGGAGTGTCACTCTTGCTCCTAAGGCAGACAGGCAAAACATCCAGGCCTCTTTTTAGTCATGGCACCAGTACAGGTATCCGAAGAACCTATCCCTTTGGGCCATAAAACCACAGCTTTTCAAGCAAAGTAGCAAGGGAACTTCAGTCCTAAACTAGCTCTCTCTCAGAAAATGCCCCTTTGGAGCAAAGTTAGGCAAGCTGCTTCTTGTTTTAAAATCTTCCCAGATCCTGTGTCGGGTCTTCCCACTTCATTAGGCTGGCCATCTCCTCCCCTGCCTCCAGATCCAATTCCATCAGCATCATGAAGAGCTTCCCCACTTCGTACAGCTCAGAGACTTCACTAAGATCAGGGCATAGAACCGTGGCCATGCTGGCTCAGGTTCTCCATGCCCCAGAACCCCCTGATAATTTTTACCAGATCTATTGCTATGACCTACCTATGGGCTGCCCAATCTCGGGTGCTATAGACTGAATGCTTGTGTCTCCCTCCTCCCATTCATACTCTGAAACCTAATCCTCAATGTGAAGATATTAGGAGGCGAAGCCTTAGAAGGTGATTAAGTCATGAGGGCGGACCCTTTACAGATGAATTAGTGCTCTTATAAAGAGGCCCCAGAGAGATTCCTGGCCCCTTCCTCCATGGGAGGTTATATCCAAACAGGTGACATCTGTGAGGCAACGGACCCTCAGGAGCTCTGAATCTTGCGGCACCTTCATCTTGGACCTCCCAGCCTCCAGAACTGTGAGAAATAAATTCCTGTGGTCTATAAGCACTCAGTCTATGATATTTGATCTATAATGGACTAATAGTAGGGATGCAGCAGCCCTAAACATGGAGTAGCAGGACTAAGACATACGGGGGAAATGGTGCAAAGTGAACAGATGTTTTTCCACAGCCTGGAGCTAAGAACCTTGTGTGTCCAGTCCTGCAATAGGATGAAAGAATTTTCTACTCTGAGGACACCCTGAACAATGTCATTCCCAGGGAAATGGCACAATCCTAGAACTAGTACACTTCCAGTCACAGAAAACACTGGTTCCCCAAGAACATTCAGTGAATTTTGCACCCACCTAAGGGCTGCAGAGAGGCTCCTAGACACCCCCCACAGACTCAGAAACAGTCATACACATACATCTCACATCCACCCACACATTCATACTTGCACACACACACTCATATACACACTTGCATACACTATCTCACATCTTTTTCTTCACCTGGAACTCGATGTACTTGGAGCCTCACTTTTGTCCAGGAAAGTTGCCACATCAAAGGCATCTTCAAAAAGGATCTGAAAGAAAGCACAGAACTTCATGTGTTGGCAACTACTAGACAGCCTGACAACTCTGGGCTTCTGGGGGAGAGATGAGAAAGGGCTCTCTCTTTACACCACATCCCTAAAGGGCATGCATGCTAGCTGGGCCCAAACCCGGGGGCTCTGCTCAGTGATCTTGCCAGAGGCTGGGTACTAGGCAACCCAGGACAAACTGCCAACTCTAGAGGTGGCTGAGAGGGACAGTGTCTCCTCTTACTAAAGAAGGTGGGAGCTCAGGTGTGAGATACAACAGCCAGAGCCTCAGTTTACAGCTGGGAAAGGCTCATCCAAACCTCCCAAAGTGGAGAGACTATTTGAGCCCAAGATTGATATTCCAGGAGTCTCAAGCCAGGGCAGCTGAGTTCAGAGGTCCAGGAGCTAGGCCGCAGGAGGGCCAACTCCCGGCCCTGCCACTCACTAACTGTGTGACCTGGAACAAGTCTCCCCTCCTCTCTCCTCATCCCTCTCTGGGACACATTGTTCTTCCTCAGAGAGCTGCTACCTGCCCTTTCTGTCTTCCTCCAATTTGCTTCCCTAGAATTGAATCCCTTGGGACACTTGTTCCCTTCCTAGTTTTCTGGACTTTTTCTGTTGTCCCTCTACTTGGTATCTCTTTGGTCACTTCAAAGAGAATCTGAAAAGGGGCCATGAAAGACCTGTGCCCCCAACATCAGTCCAGAAGCCCATCAACTCCATGTTCCTCCCCAACAGGCTTCAGAGAGGGACCCAGGACTTAAATTCCTGTCCTCAACCAAACAGCCCATTAAAGGTTGCAGACCATACATCATGCTCATGTGTGCAAACCCCTTTCACAGGTCAGCCTGGGAGAGAACCCCAGGCCAGGCCCTGCAGCTCTTCCAGAGTGGTCATCACAGTTATGGAGTCACAACTCTTGAACCCGAAGTGGAATCATTCAGTGCCTTTGGGGTTGGCCCCAACACGCCTGCTCCACAGTCTAACCTCTCCAGATGGACAGGGAGCTGTAGCAGTTCACTGACTTAGAAACTGCTTTGGAAGCCACAGCAGGAATAGCTGTGGCTTTGTCCCTGCCTTAAGCATGAGTGTTCTCTGTTCTATTTACCTTATTACGCAGCCCTGGCTTGGCCCAAACTGTGTAGGGAATCTGCTGCCAGCTTCCCTTGACACCAGAAGAACATCCACCCATATTGCTCCCTGAAAAACTCAGACAAGCCATTTCCACGATTTGAGGACATTACATTCTGGGTGTCTTCTCTTTGGATATGCTCTTCCTTAAGGAAGTGTTCACGATGGCAAATGTGAGCACAGTCATCTTTGACAGAACTGCTCAGGCATTTGGTATATAACGTTATGCATCACTTTGCAACAGGAGTATGTTCTGAAAAATGCATCACAGGGAAATTTGTTGTTGTGTAAACATCAAAGTGCACCTACACAAACCTAGATAGAATATATATTATTTATAAATGCTTTTCATGTGGAAAACCAAATATCCCAGCACCATTACCGAATATCAGTCGTTTCCCCTACTTGAACTGCAATGCCAATGTCATATATCAGGTTTCTATATATGCTCCGTTATCATCTTATGAGACCAGTGTTATTTATAAGATCCATCTTTGACTAAAATGTCATTATGAAGTACATGACTGTATTTTCCTCTTGTTTTCTTTATGCAAGACTCCAGGTTTAGGCACTCTGAGGCTATGAAGACACCTGGCCTGGCTGCCCTTTCACGCATACCTCAGATATGAAGTCTCTGGCTGCCTGACCATCTGTCTCTGCTTGAACCATCGTGGAGGAAAACTTGTGTCTTCTCACAATGGACCCAACATTAGAGGAAAAACAAAGTCTGGTAGACTCACAGTTGGAGGTGGGGAGAGGACTAAGGCAGTAGATAAGATTGACTATCGCGCATCTGCACTGGGAGTTCTCTCCAATAATACCCACATGTATCATCACCTGGGGCACTTGTTAAAAATGCCTATATATGGAGACCACACCATCAGGGATTCGACTCAGTGGGTCTAGGGTAGGAGCCAGGCACCCAGCTTTTTACAAAAGTTCACAGGTGATTCAGTTGAGAAACATCAGGGGAGATAATGGAGGGTTGACCATCAACAGGTGACCAAAGGGCAGAATTATTTGGAAAAAATGTGTGCTGAAAGTGACACAATCACTGGAGCAGAAACTAGGTGTCTTGGGGGAGTCACATTGCTTAGAACTGTAAACTAGAAGAACAACTGAGATGTCACCCATCTCTCTTGTTCTCCAGGGTTGGGGCTGATAGCTGTGTAAACTTCTAGGAGAATGGGGGAATTCCAAGGATGTACCCAGGGGTGAGAGGCAGTTAGAGGCTCTTGGATTCTAAGACTACACAGATGGACACTGGGAGAGTAACATAGCCATTTCTTCAAAGGGACCACCCACTGAGGGGTGTCTGGAAAGTCAGGGAAAGGGGGTGGCATATATCATCAGGAGGCTGTGGGCGGTAAATGTCCTACAAAGCACAGGGCATGGACAGAGAGCAAGAAATTGCCTACCCCTGGGAAAGAGAGTGAGAGTGGCTTTGGGCCCATTGTTTGGTAGCAGCAGTCTTCCAAGGCTCTCCTAATTTCCAAAGAGCAGCTGTGGGCCCACTTTTACCTCAGTGTTGGGCAACTACTAATGCCACCTGACACTCTGCTTTGCGGACCATCCCTGTTCGAGCTAGCCTACCCAAACACTTAGAAATGCATTTACAGTGGAAGTTGTGGTTGCCTTCTTTCCACCTAGTGACTCCAGTGCTCTTTGGGGAAGGAACTGATTGCTTTTCAAAGACTGTACCTGACTGGCCCAAATGTGATCCTCTCTCTATTGCATCATTGGCTCATGAAACTGGTAATCTGGACAATTTCTGGTCACTGAGCGGGCAGGAGAGGTATAATAGGAGTTTCTGAAAAAATCTTCCTTGATTCATAAGGAATCTTTCACAGGAAATCTTTCACTTATTTTATGTAAAGGAGGAAGAATGACAGCTCAATCACTCTATCTGCCATTCCACAGCCATAGGAGATGAGGTAAGTGGAGAGGAGAGGGAAGGATGAAACACCAGCCTTAAGATGAAGCAGAGCAGACAGAAGGGAGGAACCTGAGTTCACGGGGACATCACTGAGCTGCTGCTCCTGCTTCAGGACCTCTCTGGATGTGAGTAGTGCATTTCTTCATGATTTAATCATAAAGTCACTGGCAGCCAAAGCAATCCCACTGAGACAATCTCCTAAGCCTTTTTCTTCTATTATTCCCATGGAAAAGCCAGGAAATTAACAGGAGGAAAAAAATGCTGTTCTGTGGTCATAGATATTTGGACACCTACAGTGTTACCCAGACTCCAGACAGCACCTCGAACTTGGTAAATACAAAGCCCTGGTGTCCCCAGGCAAGGGTTCCTGCCACCCCCCCAAAACACCCTGAGGGTCTGCTCACCTCCTCTGGTGTAGAGACCAGCGAGCAGCTGGCCCCTTGGCTGTCCACCCCACTGTCCTTCACACTGCCCTCGGCATAGGCTGCCTCTTGACTGGCCCCTGCAAGGCCACCATGCTTCTGCACCCAGGCCTGCAGGAGACTGTCCTTCCTCTCCTCCGAGAGGTTCTGCCACAGGTGGGAGATGGCCGCGGAGACAATGGGCAGTGTCACCTCCTTTGAGGAAACAATCCCATTGCTAGTCAGAAGGTCCATCGTCTGCTTGTAAAAGTTGAGATACCTAGAACAGAAGTGGCACCATCTCTCAGACCCAAACCTTCTCCTCAGGATTCCATTCATGGCTAAGTCTGGAGTGTGCAGGCCTGGCCACAGTGCCATGGTTTAGCCTTATTAGTCTCTGCATGCCCCGACCTTTGGAGAACAAAGCCCATGAATGTGCAGACATGATATGACCCCTGCTTTAATTTGGGGCCTGTAAGTCAGGTTCAACTGTGGAGTAAGCCTCCTATGGAGCCCATGCTTCTGGAAGTCAACAGGAGGCAGTGGCAAGGGACATCTGAGCCAGCCATTCACCATTTCTCTTACTATTAGACCAGTGCAGACTTGTGGTGTGTATATGTGTGTGTGTATGTGTGTGTGTGTGTGTGTGTGTGTGGCGGGGGGGTGTGGATGTGGGTGTGGTAGGCTGTGTAGGGAATGGGATGATTAGCAATACTACACAATAATTGCCTCCCTCCCCCAGACACTCCAAATACACAAAGTAAAGGCAGTGCATGTTCTGTACAAATGACGCTTCAAGACTATTTCTTTAGCCCCTTTGCCAATCCTATCCCTGAGCCACTCCTATATGAAAATTCTGAAGCTTCCATGACTCAGAACCATGTTCCAAATCATGCATGGAGGCTGCAGCATAGCTTAGCTATAGCCTCTGTCCCCTTCCCAATGGGAGGAGGCTCCCTGGGTGCATGAAACTACTCCATGCAGCTGTTCACACCGTTCAAATTCCATGAGGTCTGGCCACAAAGTGACTGGGGAGTATAAGAGCACTTTTTTATCCTCTTCTTCCTCTTCCTCCTCTTCTTCTCCTTCCTCTTCCTCTTCCTCCTCCTCTTCTTGGTCTTCTTCTTCCCCATCTTCTTCCTCCTCAGCATCCTTCCCAACTGCCTCAATTGGGCACCAGGGGGAGAAGCCATTCTGAGGAAAACTATTTGAGACCAGGCTGGGAGAGAAGACAGAAACATGATATAGACTAATATCCCTTGCAAACATGGACACAGAAATTCTTAACACAATTTGAACAACAATATATATTTCAATTATATATATATATTATGTATGTCAAAAAAGGTGAATACATCATGCTCAAATGGGCTTTATCCTAGGAATGCAAGGTGGCTGATTCAGTATTTGAAAATCAATCAATGAGATCTACCATATCAATAGACTAAAGAAGAAAAATCATATGATCATCTCAATAAATGCAGAAAAAGTGGTAGACAAAAATCAACATCTATTTATTAAAAAAAAAACACAAAAAACTCTCAGCAAACTAGAAATAGAAGGGAACTTTCTTAGCCTGATAAAGAGTATCTACAAGAAAGTGTAACAGCTAACATAATACTAAATGATAAAAAATTGAGTGTTTCTACTCTGAGATCAGGAATAAGACAATGTCTACTCTTAAAATTTTCATTCAAAATCATACTGAAGGTTCTAGCCAGTTCACTAAGGTGAGCCAAATAAATAAAGAGTATGCAGATTGGAACATAAGAAGCAAATATGTCTTTATTTGCAGACCATGTGATTATTTATACAGAAAATCTCAAGGAATTTAAACATTTGATTAGAACAATGTCCGACAATTAGGTTCACAAACCATCAGTGCATAGCTTCCCAAGGTGAGTACTTCAAAGGTGGCCATAGTGATATTCAGCAATGAGGTATGTTGCACTTTTTCGAGGATGAATTCATGAACTTAATTGTTGGATATCATAAGTGAACTGTTAAGCAAGGTTGCAGAATACAGAATTAATACATAAAAATCAATGATATGTCTACACACAAGCAATGAGTAATTGGAAGTTTAAATTTTTAAAAGTATCATTTATAATAGCACAGAACATGAAATACTTAGATTTAAACCAAAAGCTCAACCTATATTACAAGAAAGAATAAGTTGAACTTGTCAAAATGTAAAATTCTGCTCTTCAGGAAGGCACTTTTAAGAGAATGAAACAACATGACACAATTTGGACAGTCAGGATTTGCACCCAGGCTCTTTCATACCTCTAGAAATAACCGCTAAGGTACCATGTTGAATTAAAAAAGCAAGCTCACCAGAAAAACATACAGGAGGATTTTTAAAAAATTTCAGAGCAGAGAAAGTCTTCCTAAGTATTCTCCAAAACTCAGATGTCATAACAAATTTATTGATTAGACTTCATTTTTTGTATGGCAAAATCAAAAAACAAAACGTAAAAGGAAACTATTAAAACAAATGATCAAGGAAAAATTATTTGCAAGGCATGTAGTAAAACAAGAGTTAATTTCTCCATAAATAAAGAACTTTTACAATTAAATAAGAAAAAAACCACCAGCACAAAAGGAAACTGAGCAAAGATTGGGTATAAATAGTTTCCAGGAAGGGAATTTTAAAAATTAATTACTTTTTTATTTGTATTTATTTATTTACTTATTTATTCATTTATTTATTTCAGTTAGACTCTCCTTCTGTCACCTAGGCTGGAGTGCAGTGGCACACTCGTGGCTACTGCAGCCTTCACTTGCTGGACTCAGGTGATCCTTCTGCCTCAGCCTTCCAAGTAGCTGGAACTATAGGTACACGTGGCTGGTGTTTTTGTTTTTGTTTTTTTGGTTTATTGTAGAGATGAGGTCTCACCAAGTTGCACAGGCTGATCTCAAACCCATGAGCCCAGGCAATCCTCTCACCTCGGCCTCCCAAAGTGCTGAGATTATAGGGGTAAGCCCCTGCACCTGGCCTATTTTTATTTTATTTTTAGAGATAGGAAGGGTCTCACTCTGTCACCCAGGCTGCAGGCTGTAGTACAGTGGTGCGATCATGACTCACTTCAGCCTCCAACTCCTGTGCTCAAGCAATCTTCCCGCCTCAGCCTTTCAAAGTGCGAGGACTACACTGTGCATGTGCCACCACACCCAGCTAATTTTTAAATTTTTTTGTGGGGATGGGGGTCTCACTATGTTGCCCAGGCTAGTCTCAAAATCTTGGCCTTATGGGATCCTCCTGTCTCAGTCTCCCAAAGTGCCGAGATTACGGGTGTGAGCCACTGCACCTGGCCCCCAGGAAGGGAAATACAGATGGTCTTGAACAAAGGCACTTAAGTTCCCTCATAATTAATTAAAATATAATAATTACAAAATACAATTAACCTATCCCTGTGTTATAAAATATAATTAATCTATCCCTGTGCTGATACCACAGTTTTAATTATTGTAGTAAAAAAATCCTCCCTAATTCTCACAATTTTAAAAGAAATTTAGCCATTATTCTATGGACAGATGATATAAGTTTTAATAAGTATGCAATAAAGTTAGTATCTCTTATCAGTAAGGAAATGATGGCTTATATAATAAAGATGGGTCCCATTCTGATTTTTTTTTTTTTTTTTGAGTTGGAGTCTCACTCCTTTGCCCAGACTGGAGTGCAGTGGCTGTTCCTGGCCACCGCAGCCTCGACCTGCTGGGCTCCGGCAATCCTTCCGCCTCAGCCTTCCAAGTAACTGGAACTACAGGCGCGCACTACCACGCCCGGCTAATTTTTGATTTATTGTAGAGATGAGTTCTCGCCAAGTTGGCCAGGCGGGTCTCGAATCCACGGGCTCAGGCAATCCACTCACCTCAGCCTCCCAAAGTGCAGGATTACAGGCTGAGCCACCCAGCCCGGCTCCATTCTGAGTTTTAGAACAAGGCTACAAACATACTACACTCAATACATACACATACCACATGCCTCCTCCCCTCTGGGACCAAAATGGTGACCAATGCTGTCCGTATGTGAGATGATAGGTGATTATTTTCTTCTTCACACTTTTGTATATTTTCACATTATTTACAATGTGAATTTTACTTCATTTTTGATTTATTACTTTTCCCTGATTATTTCTCTTAGGATATAATACACATTCATTGTTAAAAATTTAGAAAATATGAAAAAGCACAGAGAATCAATTAAGTCATGAGTGGTCTCACCAAGACCATTACAGAATCACATCCCTGCATTCAGGCAGGCTTCTGATAAGCTCTGAATACAAGCAGTTTGCAGTTCCTTTCTTAGCGGGGTAAAGATGACATGTATTCTCTGTGTCATCAGAGGCCAACGTGGATTGACTTCATATGGTTAGAACTGGACATGTCCAGGGGCCCCTGGAGATCATAGGGGCACAGCCATGGCCTCCAAAGCCCAGGCTGCTGTTGAAATAGCTCAATAGGACGAAGGTGCAGTGCAAGGGGTGGGGCAGGCCATCCTCTGAGAGCAGAGCAAACAAAATATCCACACAGTAGGCACGAGGGGACCAAAAAAGTCCCAGAACTTATTTATTTAAAACTGTGTATTTATTCTTACATGTTTAAACATGTACTTACATGTATCTCACATGCTTAAACATGTACAAATGAAGAGTACTTACAAAGTACTCTCCGTTTGATGCAACCTATGGAGATGCTTTTTCCACGGCTCAAAACAGTTTTGAACTCGTACTCCTCTATTTTGATGCTTTTTTTAGTGCTTCTGCTGTTTTTTGTTTCACCTCTTTCACATGGTCAAAATATTTCCCTTCGAGGACTTTTTTCATCCAGAGAAACAAAAAAATGTCGCTCAGGACAAGATTGGGCAAATAGGGTGGGTGGGGCACAGGGGTCATGGTGTTTTTGGTCAAAAACTGCTGAACACTCACTCAGCACAATGCGGGTAGGTGCATTTGTAAATCATCCATCATGAAATGGGCAAATGCGTTGAAAGACTCTCCAAAAAAATAAATAACTAGATTCGGCTGGGCTTGGTGGCTCAACCTATAATCCCAGCACTTTAGGAGGCCAAGACGAGTAGATTGCCTGAGCCTGCGAGTCCAAGACCAGCCCAGGTAACTTGGCAAGACCTCGTCTCTACAATGAAATTAAAAATTAGCCGGGTACAGTAGTGTAATTCCAGCTACTTGGAAGGCTGAGGCAGAAGGATCACAGGAACCCAGCAGGTCGACGCTGGGGTGGCCATGAGCGTGTCACTGCACTCCAACTTGAGTGACAGAGTGAAACTCCAACTCAAAAAAAGAAACAACTAGATTCACTGAAGCTGAACACAGCTTCTCACAACAATGCTAGCTATTGCCCTGATGCTGATAGGTTCCTAGAACACTTACCTAGCAAGAGAAGCCTCAACTACAATGGGCCTGCCCTCCAAAACACAGTTTTGCTGTTTTTTTTGGTTCCCCCCTCATACATAAAAAACCCAGATATTGTAAGAGTTGAATATAAAACATGAGATCATAAATTACAAGAAATTCATTTCTCAAATCAGTTTCTCTTTCAAAGTGTGAATGTGACATTATTAATAATCTCCCCCTTTCAGCATCTGTGACACCTGGATATACTATGGTTTCTTTTCCTCAAAGTTAAATTTGGTTTTTCTTAGGTTCCTGTGATATTGAATTTGGTTTTTCTTAGGTTCTCATGAAGTCAAATTTGTTTTTTCTTAGATTTCCATGAGGCTTGCAAAGTAGGCTGAGATTTGTGTTTTTCTTGTATTCTTATATATCCTTCAATAAAGTCATTAGCTAAGGGTTTTATTTTTTTTATTTATTTATTTTTGAGTTGAAGTCTCACTCTGTCGCCCAAACTGGAGTGCAGTGGCCGCTCCCAGCCACCACAGCCTCGACCTGCTGGGCTCCGGTGATCCTTCCGCCTCAGCCTTCCGAGTAGCCGGAATTACAGGCGTGCACTACCACGCCTGGCTAATTTTTTTATTTATTGTCGAGATGAGGTCTCGCCTGCCCAGGCGGGTCTCGAACCCGCGGGCTCAGGCAATCCACTCACCTCAGCCTCCCAAAGGCGTGGGATTACAGACTGAGCCACCGAGCCCAGTTAGCTAAGGGTTTTAACATATACATATAGGAAAAGCTATACATATTACAATATAAATACCATAATCTCATTTTAAAAAGCAATGTGCAAATTTTTAAAAAAATAGATGGACATTCTTCAAAATTAACATAAATTTTTTCTGAGTGGTGACACAATATATATTCTGTATTTTTTTACATCTTCTATAGTAAGCATGGGTCATTTTTATCATTGGGAAAAAAGTCCAATGCATGTTGTCAGAGTAAAATAGAAAATAATTCTCTCCGGCCCAAGACTATTTTAAATGGGTGAGCAGCAGCCCTGACAGTTCTGCAGGCTGGAGGGGAAGGATGAGCTGCTACCGTACAGCACCCAAGAGCTGTCAGGATGAGACAGTTCTCATCTTCCTGGGTTTGCTGGGTCTTACCTCTCGTTTCCAGAGTACATGCTGGAGTATTCTTCCTTGACTTCCTCTAAGCTACGTGCATTCCCGTCCTCCAAGTTGAAGGATTCTATCAGGAAGTTGAAGGCAACAGTCACAAAGAGGAGAGTCGTGACACTGTTGAGTCTCTCTCACCCTTCTGGCCCTGTGGGGCCATGAGTGGGACCCTGAACCCTCCAAGGGCATCATTAGGGAAACCAGGGCCCAGTTTTCTCCTTTTGGGTGTGAGAGGAAAGCACTTGACAAGTGCCAGCCCGCTTCTTTTCTAGCTTCTGAAGATGCAATCAGGGCCCTTCAGCAGCTCCCCAATAGGGAACTCATCAAACTCACAGGGCCCGGTGACTCCTGCCAGTCCTGCCAGACTGCAGGCTCCCTGAGGACAGGGGTGTGACTCTCAACCTTAGCCCAAGCACAGGACCCCGCACACAGCAGGCCTTCAATAAATATTTATTGATTCGTTGTAATCCAATCTCTCTGTATTCAATTTTTTAAAAACCGAGCCTGCCTTCTCCAGGGAAGGAGAGGGGTTGGCAGGCAGAAATTTATTACCTTTTAGCTTCAGCAAATTATCCAGCGTTTGTTCCAGTTCCTGAATATGACTCTTTGCCTTATTCAGAACCTGCCACTGAGGACAGAAACAGACAGTGCTGAAAAGCCAGTCTGTCACTGCAGAGACTAATTTTGTGGACCCGGGAACCCCCTCCCCAGTTTGAAGCTACACTCCCTCGGATGCAGTCACAGCCCTTGACCTTGTCAGTAAAGAGGACAGGAAGTTTGTTCCGATGCACAGAAGGTATGAAGTTTCATTTGTATCTTAGAAAGAAATTCTCACTGAAATGCTAAAGTATTTGGAAACAATTAAGCTTCGTTCGGCAAGCTACTAGTGCTGTATAAAGGCAAATGACCACAGAGGCTGCTTGAAGGTGGAATAAATGGTGACTGAGGAGGTACAATCTAAATGATCGTCAACCCCAGGCTTGCAAAATGCACAGGGCTTGACTTTAGCTCAATGTACAACTGGTTAACGTTGAGTGTTCTCTTCTCCCAATATTTTTATGTGCTATATGTGTGTACTCCAGATGATCTAAAAACTTATGAAATGCTCTGTCAACTTGAACTCTAAATTTTCTCCCGCCTCCTTTTCTCTCCCTTCCTTCCTCCCTTTCTCCCTCCCTCCCTTATTTTCTTCCTCCCCCCTCCTCCTCTCTTCCTTCTTTCCTCCGTTCCTCCTTCATCTTCTTCC